TTTTGCAGACAATTATTAGGTACTACAGCACAGATCCTGCATGATAATAGACACATGGATATTGAACTTTCATGAAGAATAATGTTAATTAACGAGCAATCAATCAGACTCCTATCCTTTAACAGACATACATCACACCCGGACACAGACTTACCAAACCACCAATCTTGAAGTAATCGAACTTCACAGCCACTTTATTTGCACTCAGTGGCGTTAAATCTGCAGTAACCTGAGAACTTGCATGTACATATCATCACATAAGACAGATGACAATGGTAGAATATGGGCACACCATTTTTATACGGATTACTAATGCACCCGTAAAAGATGGGAAGAAGAAAGGAAAAGAAAATAGACATGGAGGTTCACAGGTATTTGTTATCCTGAGCTATAGTCTTGATTTGAGCTATTACATAATTTATAATGATTAGTTATGATGTTTTATTTATGTGCATTATAGTGCATGTTCGTATGGATGATCCACAAGGATGGAATTGAAAGAGTAGACATACAATGCTGGACTGGACAAAATGAAGTTATAGACATTAGAAACTCAACTCACCTGATTGAAAAATGGCCACGACTCCATATTCTGAGCTCGAAGAGTGTCAGCGTTAATTGCTTGAAAGTTTGCTCGAGATCTTAAGAACTTGGGTCTCTGTTCAGAATGGTAAAACACAAGCTCAAAAGCAGAAAGAGAGGAGTAAAAAAAATGGCTAAACATAAATGGAGTCAAAGAGACACCACCACCAAGCCTGGTGATACAATTATATATGAATTGGTTTGTGCTACAATAGACTTGTGAAAACGATAGAATGTTAAAGAAGTATATATATTCACCTTTGTTTGCAAAATGGATTCTGAAGTCGTGTAAATGAGTTCCCACTTCCCGTTGAGTAAATCGGATTTGAGCGGTTCTTTTGTTGGATTAACAACTTCCAGCTTCCGAGCTATCTAGCCAAGAATAAAGTTGAGACCAAAACAAGAGAAATGATTTACAACACAGAGCTTTATGATATAGCAGCACAACTAAAAACATTTTCCAAAATAAACTTTCCTTGTCTAAGATTTAAAGAATCGGGCAGGAGAGTGTGGTCTCACGCAGATGAACCGCCATAAAAGGGTGGGTGATGGCGACGAGATCGCACTTGCCTTTATGGAGAAACGAGACCGACGTCGCCATTGATCATTATCTTATTATTTAGTTTCCTATTTTTATTTATTTAGCATATCATATTTATTTAGTTGCCTATTTTATT